ATTAGAGAGGTGTCCATATTAGAGAGGTGTCCATATTAGAGAGGTGTCCATATTAGAGAGGTGTCCATATTAGAGAGGTGTCCATATTAGAGAGGTGCTCATATTAGAGAGGTGTCCATATTGGAGAGGTGTCCATATTGGAGAGGTGTCCATATTAGAGAGGTGTCCATATTTGAGAGGTGTCCATATTAGAGAGGTGTCCATATTTGAAAGGTGTCCATATTAGAGAGGTGTCCATATTAGAGAGGTGCTCATATTAGAGAGGTGTCCGTATTAGAGAGGTGTCCGTATTAGAGAGGCGTCTGTATTAGAGAGGCGTCTGTATTAGAGAGGTACCCATATTAGAGAGGTGCCCATATTAGAGAGGTGTCCATATTAGAGAGGTGTCAGTATTAGAGAGGTGCCCATATTAGAGAGGTGTCCGTATTAGAGAGGTGTCCATATTAGAGAGGTGTCCGTATTAGAGAGGTGTCTGTATAGAGAGGTGTCTGTATTAGAGAGGTGTCCATATTAGAGAGGTGTCCATATTAGAGAGGTGTCTGTATTAGAGAGGTGTCTGTATTAGAGAGGTGTCCGTATTAGAGAGGTGTCCATATTAGAGAGGCGTCTGTATTAGAGAGGTGTCCATATTTGAGAGGTGTCCATATTTGAGAGGTGTCCATATTTGAGAGGTGTCCATATTAGAGAGGTGTCCATATTAGAGAGGTGTCCATATTAGAGAGGTGTCCATATTAGAGAGGTGTCAGTATTAGAGAGGTACCCATATTAGAGAGGTGTCCATATTTGAGAGGTGTCCATATTTGAGAGGTGTCCATATTAGAGAGGTGTCCATATTAGAGAGGTGTCCGTATTAGAGAGGTACCCATATTAGAGAGGTGCCCATATTAGAGAGGTGCCCGTATTAGAAAGGTGCCCATATTAGAGAGGTGTCCATATTAGAGGGGTGTCCATATTAGAGGGGTGTCCATATTAGAGAGGTGTCCATATTAGAGAGGTGTCCGTATAAGAGAGTTGTCCGTATAAGAGAGTTGTCCGTATTAGAGAGGTGACTTAAGAATCAACTGTACTTACTGTGAGAGTGTGCTGTTGGAGGGATGATATTACGAGCTGAAGGTTGAATGGGTTGAAGAGAGCTGATGGGAAGTGTGTCAGGTGCTTGTACTTCATCTAATAAAAACGAACCTGCAATAAAAAAAAAAAAATTTTAGAAATCCAATATCTACATTCTAAGAAATGTTCAGGATGAGTAAAAATCAACATTCCAAGAAATGCTTGGGATGAGTATGTTATTTTGAAGTGAAAGGAAAAAGATTAGTATTCCATACGTTGTTCTAACACTTCTGTGATTCCTGCATTGTCTGCTTCCAGCTCCATTTTGAACTTGGACAGTTCCTGATCGAGTTTCCGTAAATGTCGATCAACCAAGTCGTAAATTTGAGTTGCAATGTTGACTTTCTCTTCAGCATCTTCTAAGGCTTTTGAATATTCCTGTTGATAAATTTAACATATTTAGTGCTTTGCATATTTTTGTACAAGTAGAAGTAAAGTGTAGCCACCTCCACACGCATTGCCTCATTGCCTGTAGATTGGCGGGCAGAATCCAGCTGAACTACAACATGCCGGCGGAGGAGGTTAGAGGAAAATGTATATTATTATTTCAAAACCTGTTTTAGATTCTTGTAGTTTTCTTCTTTCCACTCTTGTGTCGCAGTGGCTCCACTTGAAAAAAAATCTTTCCCCTTCAAGTCTAAGTCATCAATTGCATCTGACAAAGTATCACATAAGATTGAAGTAACTTGCTATTTGACGGCTACTGCAAAGCTACAATGGGTTAACTATACGTGGGTAGATTTTGAATAGGTTTAAATTAATGCACATTTTATGACAATTGGCATGCCTGTAGATTATAATTTTGTTGAGGTAGCCAATGGTTTTTACAGCTGTTAGCTATTGTAGTTGCTCCAGGTATGAGCAATTTGTTCCAGTGTTTTCATATGATTTGTGAAGTCAAATGGTGCTAAATTTATGTTCTATACTGTATGTCACCATTTCAATGCAATGTCGCCTGTTGAAATTTACCATTGAAATTATGTCATGTCATTTGAAACTGTGTGTAGATGTGCGAGAGAGGTATTTATAAGGAGAGGTTTGATTGTACTTGTACTCATGATAAAGGTTGGTTATTGCATGTGTGTGGTTCATTATACATCATGATATGGTAAAATACGTTATGGGCATGTGTCATAGGGCCTAAAAAAATACCTGTGGTTCCGGTTCCTGACCGACCCTATTTTTTTTCTACCGACCCTATTATTTTTTCAACACGATTGACTGTGCAACCCTATTTTCTCCACGTGGTTGAGGGCTGCTCATACAGCATGCCAAAATGGCGTCTGTTGTCACACTAATTAGTGAACCAAATTGCCTAAATTTGTCCATAGGAAATACACATCTCTAGTTAATATTGATGTCGGGACTCTACTGCAAATCGTCCATCAAAAAACCGCCAAAACCATGAAAAAAATATTCCAAAAAATTTATTTCCGACCTACCGACCATAATGTTTTCACGATATGAAACCGGAATCACAGGTGTTTTTTTAGGCCTAGGTATTGACAAAAAGATCATATGAAAATATTTTCCATAGGTCTTACTTTGAACTTGAAGATCCATTTCTCTCATTTCTGTATACCGATCCCTCAGATCAATTGGCAACTGTTCTATCACTAAAGTTGGTGAAATGTTAAACTATTTAACTACACCATAAGCTGGGTGCACACGCAAAGCATGCATCTGGTATTTATAGAGGCAAAACTTCCACAAATGAGTGGTTGATTGGTCACTAAATGAAACTAGTATGTGGGTCCAATGACTCCTATCACAGTAGTGTTCTTCAATTAGCCTTTCTCACGAAGGCCAAACTTTGCCATTTTTGGGGTACTGTCTGCTCTCGTGAAAGATTCTAGACAATTCAAACAATGTGAAAAGCAACTTTTAAATTTACCATTATACAAACAACTAGAGTCACTAGAATACTAAAAAGTTGTATTTTGTGGTGCAGAGACTCTCAATGGGAGAGGCAGTACCCCAAAATGGCGAGAAAATCAGCTGTGAGAAAGGCTAATTAACTGTCTTTGTCTAAGTCATTTGAGAGAAAGCTCTGACCATTGTGGCTGAAAATGTCCAGATGAAGTGCCTTCACCTAAAATGACAAAGCTGTTGTTTGCAGTAAAACCATTTCAGGTAATTCAGACACTAACCCCAGCTGCTCATTGCAGAATAATATACCTCATGCTTGAGATATCAACTTAGATATAGATCATGTCTCAATACTCGGCAATGGTATGTTTACATGATACAGTTGCATTGTGGGTAATTTTTGCCCGTCACCAAACACATCTTACTATATTATCTCAACAATAACAACACTTGTTTTTATATATTTTATTAATAAAATTATTTAATTTATAACCTAAAGCAACTATAACTGTTAATTTAATTATTCAGCTAATCCAATTTTAAAAAATATTTTAATAATAAAAAGCAAACACCAATGCAAAGACACTGTTCATATTATAAAGAGGAATAAAATTATTCAAAAATTGCAACAAAATCAAAGCTATCAGATGTGACCAACGATGCGTATTGAGCAACTAATAAGTTGATTTTTGGGCAAACAAAATGGCGGACAAAAACAGTAGAAAAAATTGAAAATATGCCTTCATAAGTCACTCTACTTGGTGTTTTTATAACAGAATATATACAATAAATAACCGCCTATAATCTGTGTATACTCACGCTCGAGAAAGTCTTCTAAATAATGCATTTTCGTAAAAAAACGCCGTCCAATTTTGTTTTCTTCTTTATTCTGAAAGCGACGCCATGTTGTTTTTGGCGGATCTCCGCTGGTACCGTTGCACGTAGATTCGGAACTTTGGACAGAAAATCGAAAAAGCTGAAAAAACATTAAAAGTTCTTTTGTGTGGAAATTTTGCAGAAAATTTAAAGACGATCGCATATTTTTGTGTTAATTTAGTAAGACTGGAGTATGAGGGTTCTTTCTGCGTCGTTTAAACGCTCATTTTGCAAAGGAAAAGCGGGATTCGGGTCGGCATTTCGTGCAGTCTCAGCGAGCTCGTCTTGCGCAGGGTATGCGACGAACGCGAAGGTTTGTAATTATTCAATATATCTCGCAAAAATGCTTTAAAGATTTTCTTGTTTTATTAAGAAATGATTGACTAATAGCGCTTTTGCATAACACTTTAGCAGTACAATAGTGCCATACTGCCATCCAATCACGCTCCAGGGTTTTTAGGGCCCACTGACTCCATTTCAAGTACAGTTGTCACGCAAAACTTCATTTTAGTGGTAGTTCGTTTGACGTTTTCAAGGATGGTTGGGTTGAGATCAAACGTCAAGTTGACGTTTTGCGTGGCAACTTGAATTTTGCTTGTGCAACAGTCAACAAATGGCGGTCAATTGGCAGTTTTCAGAATGTTATTATTATATGTAGTAGTTTCGCATTTGGTGGCAAGTGAAAACGAAGAGAGACATAGTCTAATTTATTTGCTCATTTGAGTATTGACCCACCATTTGTCGCTCTGTCTCAAATTTGAATTTCCAACCTGCAAACGGGTAAACTCTACCTTACAACATTAGGGAATGCATTAGTTAGTCCCAAAAACACCAGTATACTGTATTTTACCACTTCCACATGAAATATTGACACCACCCACCTTGTATGTACCATCACACATACATTGAACAATATTCCATCTGATTTCACTCATTATTACAGGATGATTTGAAGAGAACCGTCTTGTATGACTTTCATGTGAACCAAGGTGCTAAGATGGTTCCCTTCTGTGGCTGGTCAATGCCAGTTCAGTACAAAGATGGTGTTCTCAATTCTCACCATCACACAAGAAGCCACACCTCGATCTTTGATGTCTCGCACATGCTACAGTTCAAGTTACATGGCAAAGATCGTGTGAAATGTCTTGAGAGTTTAGTTGTAGCCGATATTGAGGGTCTTAACGAGCATCAGGGAATGCTCTCTGTGTTTACTAACGAGCAAGGAGGGATTAGAGATGATTTGATAATTAACAAATTACCAAACGAACTTTATGTTGTTTCTAATGCTGGTTGTGCAGATAAAGTCACACAACTTATGAAGGTTAGCTAATGAAGGGTATGCTTTATACATCAATATATGATTTGGCCTATCTGAACTAAGTGTGTTAAGATTACATGTTGAGATCTGTTGAGATTAGGGACAGAATTAGGATCAGATTTGGTTTAATTAATATTTCAGATTTGGTTTAATTAATAAAGCAGATGATTTTACTCATCAACGGGAGAGTGCTGGCACTTAATGGGTTAAAGTCAGATTAAGGATTAGATCCAGATTGGGGTCAGGATTAGAGGAAAGTCAGCCTCAGGGTTTGATTAGAGCTATGTTTAGGGATAGGCCAGGGTCAGTGTAGAGTTTGGATCAAGTTTAGGATGTTTTAGTTAGGGTCAGAGTTGTGGTCAGGTGTAGCACTAGGGTTAAGTATGGTCAGGTTTAGAATTTGTTTTGCAATCAGGAATATTCTGGTTTGGTTCAGAAATCTGATTTGTGTTCATATTTGAAGGAAAAATGTGCAGCTGTGAAGGAAGAAATGGATGTTACACTAGAAATACTGGATTACAGATCATTAATTGCACTTCAAGGTTTGAAATATACTTCACAAAGTAACTCCAGGAAACATGGCTAGGAAACATTCTTTGTTTGTCCAGCTCTTGCCTCAAAAGAGGGCTATAGGAAGCAATGTTTCCACGTGATAGCACTTATTTCAAAACTGGACGGTGACCCAGTAAAATTTATAACTTAAATGTACCTGCAAAAATGCATCATATGCTAGGCTTTCAAAGCTAAATATTGTTAAAAAGTCAGGGCATTTTAATGATGCATGTGGTGAGCACAAAAGAAGTTGACTTGAATCTCAGACATTCTGCACTTAAAGGCCCGTTTACACGGGCGATTTTTGCTGCGATTTTAGTTGCGATTTTCTCCTTTTGGAGGATGTGAAGGAGTAGATTACTTAATGATATTGTTATGAGATTTCATAACCAGGAACATTTATAACTGATCTACTCCTTCACATCCTCCAAAAGGAGAAAATCGCAACTGAAATCGCAGCAAAAATCGGCCCGTGTAAATGGGCCTCAATAAAACCCTCTTTTCTTTGTTCGTGCAGGGCCTGAAGCAGTCCAAGCGCTGCAGGGAGGAATGAAGGAGAATCTCAATGATTTGTATTTTATGAATGGTTTAACCACGGACGTTTTTGACATTGCTGATGTCCGCGTCACACGATGCGGCTATACTGGCGAGGATGGATTTGAGGTGACGATGAGAACGTAACCCATTCCCCCTGACTCCGACAAATCACTGTAAATTGGCTGTATTTGTGCTAAAAATGCAACATCCATCCAGCTGATCGTCAAACTTAAGGCTGCTCTCCAGTCACGAAATGGTCGGTTCAATATGTGTGTATTGTATTTTTGCTGGTTAATTAAACCAACACACTACTATTGTATTTGTATTTGTGTGTGTGTGTGTGTGTGTGTGTGTGTGTGTGTGTGTTGGTGTTATGTACTCAGGTGAATATGATGTATGACACACACAAAATAATCATATCTTAGAATACACTGATATCGAAGGAACTAGACTCAGTTCCGAAATATTATCAACTCGAACCGACTTGAGCGCGTAGCTCAGTTGGCAGAGCATTGGACTAGTATCCCAAAGGTCGCGGGTTCCATTCCCACCGTGGTCAAGCTAACTTTTCAGCTTTCCCGGTGTGGATGCACACTCAGAGTAACATAAAAAACAACACTGCTACTGCTTGATTGGGTGAAACTAAAACAATACACATGTGACGATGAACCGACCAATTTTTGCATAAACCAAGATAAAAACATAGATAGTGAGGTATATTATGTCTGCATCAAGTTTCCTAACCTTATTCTATTGACTATGATCTATCTCAACTACAGTTTATATTTATTCTCAGTTATCAGTCCATAGTAAAGACGTTGAAAAACTATGCGAGACACTGCTGAGCAGTAAGGTTGTGGACGTGCGTATGGCAGGACTGGCTCCCAGGGATAGTTTGAGATTAGAGGCGGGCCTATGTCTCTATGGTAACGATATTGACGAAACCACGACACCTGTGGAAGCAACGTTACTGTGGACAATCGGTAAGCAATGGTATCCTGACCATAAAAGCCCTGTCTCCAGGTTTGTCCACCTTCGGGAAACATGGCTAGGAAACAATGTTTCCAGGTTTGCCCACTTTTGGGAAACATGGCTAGGAAACAATGTTTCCAGGTTTGTCCACCTTCGGGAAACATAGCTAGGAAACAATGTTTCCTGGTTTGTCCACCTTCGGGAAACATAGCTAGGAAACAATGTTTCCAGGTTTGTTCACCTTCGGGAAACATGGCTAGGAAACAATGTTTCCTGGTTTGTCCACCTTCGGGAAACATGGCTAGGAAACAATGTTTCCTGGTTTGTCCATGCGCCTTCGGGAAACATGGCTAGTCCTAGTTTGTCCACCTTCGGGAAACATGGCTAGGAAACACGACTAGAAGACAATGTTTAAGTATGCCGAGCCATCAACGAGCCGTCATTTTTACGCAACCTTGGTTCTCCTCTAGGTAAAAGACGACGTGCTAATGCAGACTTCCCAGGCGCTGATATTATTCTAAAGCAGATATCGGAGAAACCTTCGCGAAAGAGAGTTGGCATTATCTCCAGTGGACCACCCGCAAGAGGTAGGTTTCACTAACCGTTACAGCAGATGGTTTTCGACTTCACAAATATTGACATTTATAGGAGTAAGGAAACCCACCTAGTGAAGTAACACTCTTTCGTTTACGTTATTTTTAGCGGGAGCTGCTATTCTGGACGCCGATGGCAATGAAATAGGTAATGGTTTAACGATTTTTTATAAATTTTACCTCAACTTGCCCGTTTCTAATTCAAGTACCTTTTCTTAATTTTTCAGGCAAAGTAACCAGCGGTTGTCCCTCGCCGTGTTTACCAAAACAGAACATTGCTATGGGTTATGTCCAAACGAAACACGCAAAGAATGGAAGCGCCTTACAACTGCAAGTACATAAGAAACTGGTGCAAGCTACCGTCACTAAAATGCCTTTTGTGCCCACAACGTATTATTTGCCTAAAAAGTCATAAACTGTCCACTATTATGAGTAGTTTGGTCTAGGTTACATATAGGTTGGTTTAGGTGTTTATATAATGCTACATAACATCACACATGTGTGGTTCACTTAAAAAAGTATTGACACTTAGGGAACGAGAAAATGATGACAAAATCCCATACGCTAAGTGAATAGATTCAATACACACTAACAATTTAGGCACTCTGATAAATTTCTTTCCTTTCTTTCTGAGTTGGCCACTTTATGTGTTGCGTTGCTTCGCTTAATGAAACCATGATATGCCTTGCGAAAAGGTTTCCTTGAGCTAGTCATGCCAGATTTTGAACAAGAAAAATTTTCCGGTGTTAATTGCAACAAGAATTTCTTTGTAGTAACAAGGACGTTTACTGGACTTGTCAGGGATAACGTGCTTGCTTGCAGCCGAGAATTTCATTCATTACTATTAGGGGGTCAGCCGACACTTCTATAGCACTGCATATATCTATACATTATACCTAAAATGTCAAAATTTAAAAGTAAAAAAATAATAACTCAATATATGTATTTTGTACAATACCTCAAAATTTATTTTTAATAAATCTTCATTCTTTCATTTTGTGATGTTAAAATTTGTTCCACATTGTTTGCAAGGTAATTTCTTCATTTTGTGATGTAAAAAATTGCTTTCACACTTCACAGAAACTCAGCTGACGACTTCAGGCAGCAGGTAGTTGTCATTGAGCCTTTCTCGCCAACGTTGAAGTAACGTTTTCTCCAAAGAAATTGCACGAGACGTAACTTCAATTTTCCCCTGTTTCTTGTCCAGATAATGGACAGCATCTGCAACAAGCTTGTCCAACTTCTCCTCTTCAGCCTCGTCCAAAGGGATGTCTGTTTTCAACGGTGGATTGAATCTGAAGTAGACGTTCTTGGGTAGCAAGTCTTCAAGGATTGTATGCACAGCTGAAAGAGAAATGGAATATTGTTAAATCAATGACGAGAATTAATCTGCCGTGTTTTGTGTTTGAACTACATGTGAAGATTACGATAACGCTTCGATATTTTCGAACCACGGCCCTTCGTCAGAAAATTAGTATAGTAGGACGAGAAAACCAAATTCCTATTCGAAACGTCAAAATTTTAAAATCTTTTTTCATGTAGTTCAGACACACCCGACAAGGTAGATTATTGTAGACTACTACCTGCACAACGTCGCCAGGACAATCGAGACTGAGTTAAACACCCTAATAACCTGAATATCACGCAAGGCCTGACAGATGTGAACTCTCGTTTGCCAAATCTCATCGACCTTCATGCTCGTTTTCACACGAGTACGAGTTCACAGAATCTTGACTCTAGACTTTGGAAAGGGCTTCAAATGTCAAGCTAAATTATAGAGTGCATAAATACTCCCTACCTTCGGTGTCAGTGGCACTTGCGACAACTTTGAGTAATTTTTCACGAAGACTGCTGAACGTCGAGTTTATTCGTCGTGAAGGACTATGATAGATCCCAGTCCCCAGAGAAATGACGCACTGTATTGGAGTCGAAGGCCAGATTAGCTTCGCTTCGTGAATCGCCAGAGCACAAGGGCTGTTTGTGAGTAAACCACCATCCTAAATGTTGGAAAGTTTAGATTTTGTTATGAGCTCTATCAGTTCTAAACTGTTCTCCCTAGAGGTGCAGTAAGGACCATCTCTTATTGATCCAGTGCTACTACAGGAGGAAACCTAAACTAACCTAACTTTATTTATACTGGATAGCTCTATCAGTTCTAAACTGTTCTTCCTAGAGCCCCATCAATGACACTACAGAAGGAAAGCTGCGGTTTTTGGTGAGTCAAAGTGGAAGTATTCACACGTCAGATAAAATTATAATCAGGAATCAGGTTTTACTCGACTTCCATACTTGGTGTATATCTCGTCCTAGTTTAAACTCCTCAAAATATCCCGGTGCGGCAGACGAGGCTCTCAAAGCTTCCCACAACTTGTGACTACAGTTTCCTGGATAGTGAGACTTGAGCTCGTGGCGGTGGCGGTAATTGCGGAATACGTATGGACGGAGAATGGATTGATTGACGATCGTTGACACGGCCAAAACCTGTTTGAAATTGAAGTAAATATCAACCTGAATGTGGTGGTCCAGTACAGGTAGTATTCTTCAATAAGCTGCCGTAGTTTGTATCTGAACTACTTAAAAAAGATGTCTCAAACGTGGATGTCCAGTGTAGGTTGTAATTGTATTATACAATAAGCTGTCATGGTTTGTGTCTGAACTACCTGAAAATGATCCTTCAAATGTGAAGGTCATAATATAATATTATAATATTCAGACACTTACTTTGGGTGTATTCCTGTCTGCTGCAGTGTCCACAAGTCTGACTTCACCAAGAGCATCCCTGTATAAAAACACATTATACTTAGCCAGTGGTTTTCGTTTAACCCACTGCGCGCTAATGTGCCCTGCTTGATTATTTTACTCTGTCTAAGTCGACAAACGATTTTACTGGTCAAGGGGAGAGCGCTGACACTCAATGGATTAATCAGACTATTTGCCCACAACCACTACACGCAAACCCACCTGAGAATATTCTCAAACTTCAACGTGTCATAATAAGCATGGTTGAAAAACAGTTTTCCAGTCCCGATCAACGTGTTCATGGAGAATATTTCTTGAGCGAGATGTCTGTACATCTGCGTGCACTCATCAAGACTCGTTTTCTTTACTCCGAGAAGAAACGCAAGAATGGCGCCCGTACTTGAACCACAGATGAGGTCAAACATTTCATGGATTTCCTTGCCTGCAGCATCTTGGATTCTTTTCAAAACTTCGATAGGGATCACACCTCTGTGTAAAGATTATGATTATGTATTTTGACATAGCTTGCAAAGTTTCGCTTCAATCATATCGTATTGAAACGTAGCGGTATTACTTTGTTTCACTACAGCACAACTAAAAAAAGTGTTACGTTACGATATGGTTGAAGTTGAAAATTATTCTCCTTCACAAGTTTCCTTGACGAGTTTACCTTCTCGTGTGTACGGTCAACAAGTTTTCCTTGATAAGTTTCTCTTGCTATTAAACATTTATCTGACTTCAAGACCGCCTTTTGTTTGTCAAAATAATAGAAGTAATTATTTACAATTTATATGTAGAAGTCTTGTATTTGGAGGCCAATAAATAGAATTAAAAGACGTAGTTCAAATTTCTCGCTCTACTTCTAAAGGTGAGCAACATCTGAAATTCTCCCTCGCAAACTCTCACATATTAATGCTGCACTAAAGTTTAGTCACTAAATCATATGAAGGTCCACCTCTACACCCTTACCTTGACCCTCCTCCATCAATGCTCAAGATTTTTATCCCCTGTCCTTTGACAGGAACTGTCCATCCCAGCAGCACTAGGCCTTTCTGAGCCTCACCCTGGATCTGTTTATCTGTTGATTCATGACAGTGTTGAAGAATTCTGGTCACGCCTGACCTGCGGGCAAGACTCCTGGCTGAAGGATACCTGAAAATTGGACACCACTAACTCTACAATTGTACATTGGACACTAAATTTTATAATGGCCCTTTGGCTTTGCATAAGCAACACTCAGCATAATGGAATGTGCCACAAGTCTGCCATTGTCTGTTTCACCATTCATTCCACTGTTCTCCATGCCAACCAGTCACTTTTTGTTTTGACATATTTGTGACATCATCCAAATGCCAGCAAACCTGTTTCATATATGCAATATTTACATCTTTTACTACTTTTTATTTTGCGCATTTTTTCATTCATATTTAAATAGAAAATGTACTGCAGTACAGTGATAGAAGATGTAAATATTGCATGATTTGAAAGAGGTAATTTGTGTGGCATCAAATTTTGTGCTTGATTTGTGTGCTTTTGACAGTCAGAAGTGTAATACCTGTACATCAAATGTGTTCACTCATGTACAAAAACTAATAAACTTAAACTATTGTCTATCGTTGTAACTGCAAGCTGTGTTCTTTCTTTAATTGTTGAATTGGACTATCCCAGGGCAATGATAGAGAGATTCGTTAAAGAACAAGCAGCTCTACACATTGTTAACTTCTAGAGGGTCGTATACTTCTATTGATCTGAATTCACAAGTAGTCGAATACATGTAAAACTACACTCTACAGGACATTATTTTCCACAAAAATACCTCAACAAATGTTCATTTAGTTCTTCCAGCCTCACCAGACGGGAGTTATCATTCTTCGCATTCTCGAGCAACTCAAGAAGTCTTGACGTTCGGTTCTGAACAGTTGCAACAGTCTGTAAAAAGCGATGTCCGGAAAAGCAGCTCTTACTTCCTGTCTCAAAATGCAGTAAATAGTCAAAGAGCTGTGTGTTTTTATGTTTATTAAGACGTTGGTATTTGTAATGGATGTTTTTGGGAAGCCGATGAATATGGTAGATGTATGATCGCATTAAAAGCATGCCCAAAACATCATGTTAAATGTTTGGTGCAAGTGCTTCTCTTCCAGCCGCCATCTTGGTTTATGTGAAGAACCGCTGACAATCATTATCACTAATTATGACGTCATTAACTGTTACTCTTTTCACTCAGAGCTTTTCACTATTCAGTTTTCGTTCATATTTTTTCATAATCACCCGGTATCATTCGTTTCATTTCTACTGGTAAATCCTAGCATAGTTTAATCGGAAAAATGGTTCAGAAATGAGTATTATTGTATTATGCCAAATAAGTGAAAATAAAATAACCCGAAAGGCTAAGTTGAATTCTCTCAATCTCCAGCTTTTTGAAAATAAAATAATCGATTTTTTGGAAGTCTAGGGTGTTCTGTAACCGTAACCAATCGATGTCGATAGGAAATAGGTGTTTCCCTAACCACTATCGTTCAGCAGATGATGGTCAACAGTTATCAGAGTGAGAAAATAATCTCGACTGTTTTCATTCTATGCAATGACTGCGCTGGGCAAAGAAACAAAATTGAGATGTAGTTTAATTTTCCATCAACAGTTAACTCGCCAACAAAACACAAAACGGGAATTTAAGCAAAAACGTCTAAAGTGGAATGAACAAGAATACCAGAAAGCTGTGGATTGATTCAACGACGTGAACTACCTGTAAGATTATACAAGTAAAACTGTTTTCATGATCATAGAACACATTGGTATCGAAGGTACTAAACTTAGTTCAGAAATACCACACACTCGAACAGACTTGGCCTCGTAGCTCAGTTGGTAGAGCATTGGACTAGTATCCCAAAGGTCGCGGGTTCGATTCCCACATTGGTCAGGCTAACTTTTCAGCCTGCCCGGTGTGGATACACACTCAGAGTAACATCAAAAACATTATATTCACCTGAGTACATAACATCAACAAAAAATATCATGATCATAGAACACATTGGTATCGAAGGTACTAAACTTAGTTCAGAAATACCACACACTCGAACAGACTTGGCCTCGTAGCTCAGTTGGTAGAGCATTGGACTAGTATCCCAAAGGTCGCGGGTTCGATTCCCACAGTGGTCAGGCTAACTTTTCAGCTTGCCTGGTGTGGATATACACTCAGAGAAACATCAAAAACATTATATTCACCTGAGTACATAACATCAAAACACACAAAAAAAAACTACCTAAAACTGTTTAGTTTTACTTGCATTTTTCAGGAGTCGAATCCCTCTGCAACTTTCTGGTGTTATTCTCACTACCTATGCTGACACAAAGCATTCGAATAAACAAGAATCCATACTTCTCAACTTAATATGAATTTTACTTTCAAATTTCACTATGTACAATATGTTTACAACTATATAAGATGGTTATAATATCAATTATATATGCTGAGTAAGTACTTTATACAATCTTTATATACTTTATATTTCACTACAGTGTCAACAAATTAAACAGTCGTGACAAAGACAGGTCCACTTGACATGCCAAGTCTGTTTCTCTGTCTCAAGATTTCCTCGACTGTCATAAAGTCATCGAAGGTTTGCTCTGTGCAAGCCATTTTCTTTTGCGTCAGTGCAATGATTTGAAAATCATTTCTCTTCATAGTACCTCCGCGCGCTTTGCGTTCAGCTTCCACTTCGACTTTTTTCGTACGTCTCGCTTCACGAACTTTATCGAGCTGCCGGCGACGATCTTCTCGGCTCCAGTACTTTCCGAGGTAAACCGATTGCGTTTCGTCGTCCGTCGTCAGTCCCCGACGTTCTTCGGCTAGTTTTTGCGCACGCTCGCGTAGAAGTTTTTGCTTTGCGGGTTTAAGTTTTTTACTGATAAATATTCGGCTACCGTCCTTATTTCGCCTCACTCTCCACTCCACCTTCATTTCGGGATTCTCGGTCGAAGATTGATGGCCATTTTGGTTCGCTCCACGATCATCCCGAGAAGATCCACGGTCATCCCTAGATGATCTCGTTGACTTACTAGAATCATCCTTAGATCTCTCCTTCTTTCTCCTAGGTTCACTTCTATCCTTGCCCTCTGATCTCTCTTTACTTCTAGGCCCAGTTGGACTGCTTTCAGAACTCCTGGACGACTTTTTATTAGTCTTATTTTTATGTTCATGTCCTGAAGGATGGGCGTTTTCATCTGAAGAAGTTTTACTCCCAGATTTGCGTGAGCTATTTTTCGTGCTCCGGTCGCGTTTTTCGCGTTCTCCCGAGCGTTGCGAGTGCTCGTCTGAGCTTTTCTCGCGTGGGCTATCACGCAGCCCTAGTTCTCGTGCATTGCTAGCACATGCAGTGAAGTGAATAATCTGTTTCCCCAGCGCATCCATTTGTGCTTTATGTTGCTCTTTCTCATCCCTCATCAGTCGGTCGTCTCCGCCGTCTTGTTCCGAGTCGTTCTTCGTACTGTCGTCGGTACGTCCGAAGCCACTGTCTTTCTCGTCTTCTCGGGACTTGTCGCCAATCATCGTCTCAGCTTCGTCTTCATCTTCTTCTTGAATAACACCGATCGGGTAGGCTTCGAGATGGAATCGGGATTGATCGTGAAAGTCGTCTCCACCGTGGTCGCTTTCCGCACCAAGTAATGTTGCTTGTAACTTTATGAGGGGAATAAATAATGTTAGTTTTAAAGTTTGTTCGTTCACTGCAACCAGGTGTATATCAATCATGTTTCGCTCGCTACTCTGGTTTGAATTAAATGATTACAAAGTCCAGTCGAATTGTAATCACGACCCAACGTTTCGACACTCCAGTCTAGTGTCGTCATCAGGGGTGATCACCCAAGAGATGACGTCACCTGCCAATGAGATGCATGTATTCCTCTGGCAAATAGGCACCGTCATCCCTATTCAAAGCATGATTACTCATGATTACTCATATTTATATGCCACGCTTCTAGGCTTCTAGGCACCACAAACAATCGCTATGGTAAAAAAACTTTGCCTAGAAGCATGGCATATAAATATGAGTAATCATGCTTTGAATAGGGATGACGGTGCCTATTTGCCAGAGGAATATATGCATCTCATTGGCAGGTGACGTCATCCCTTGGGTATTTAAGAAGCCACAATTGCAACTTTAGATCACCCCTGATGAAGACACTAGACTGGAGTGTCGAAACGTTGGGTCCTGATTACAATTCGACTGGGCTTTGTAATCATTTAATTCAAACCAGAGTAGCAAGCGAAACATGAAATAATGTTAGTGTTTCATGCGGATCATATTTAATGCATGTGCTTTTCATGAGGTTAGATTTCTGCAATATGACACAACCAAACTCGCTCAGTTCGCTTTTCCATCTGTAGTAACACTGAATCAATATAAAACGGTAATCCTTTATACTGAACCTCTAGAGAGAAACTTTCAAACAAGTTTGCCTGGTAAAAAGAAAAAACAAAACATATGCATTACCTCAGCGACAGGTCTTGCAACAAGAAACTTGATTTCGTTGTGTCTTTTGCTCAATAATCCGACGGCGTCTTCCAGGCAAGTTACAGCCAAGTCGTTAATCTACAAAGACAAGAAGAACTGTATTAAATATATAGAACCACTTGACAACTTAGTTTTTATTGTCCGAGAATATTCTCACTGGCAAATAGTTCAGAACCGTAAATAAATGATCGGTATCTGCAATTAATCTGTGTTAAATTTTCTCACAATTATATTTAATTACCTTCAGAATTTGATCTCCTTCAATGACTCTCCCATCTTTGCCAACAACCGATCTAGGATCAACCTGAAGATCAAAGATCAGTTAGATCACAGTTTATTGGAGGGAATCCAAATCCACTGATAACCCAGTGGTAGTAAGGGATAGGCCAGCAAGTATAGACACAAAGTGGGAAGGGGATTCCTGGGGTTTTAAATGAAAGAATCCGGTTATAAGATTTATATCCTCGTACCTCATCTACAAACACAGAGTTTGCATCTTCGACTCCATCGCCTGAGAATAATTTCATCCCCAGAGCCTTACGGCTGGACATTCTGATTGTAATTTCCTAAATAGAGAAGTTAGAAAAAATTCTTGGAGTTAGAAAATTGGATAACCCTCTCTAATATATGAATCCTCTCTAATATATAAAACTTGTTGCAAAACTTTGCTGCAGGATTGTGAAAGAACTAGGACATTTTACGTTATGTGGGGGATCTAAATTTAACAATGACGCTTTCAATTTCCTGCACAGTTGATGGTGATAAAGGATAAAGTAGATTCCCGTTCTCCCAGGACAGTCATGCCTAAATTTAGATTTTTTGATACAGGGAAACAAGTCTATGCATCATAACCTTGATAGATATCAAGGTTAATGGAACATGATTGACGTCATTACATCCTATAGCGATACTTAAGTTTTTTTTACATGTACAACTAAGTTTCGTATTGTTCGTACGCAACGGTTTGTGTCAGGACCTCGCTGTGTACAAAGAACAAGACATTTTGTAACCTGTCGGAATATAACGAAGAATACAACCCTCCCAGATATGAAGAATATGGGCTTAGCGGCAATATTCAAAGTTCTATTTCAATCCCGTTATAACCGGTGTTTTTCATGTGACTTGTATTATGGAACACGCTTCAAAACACGCTTTTATTTTTACGTCGGTAACTCATGACAAACAGAAAAAAAACTTACGCGGTTGTTCTTGTGACTTGTATTATGGAACATGCTTTAAAACACTCTTTATTTTTACGTCGGCAACTCATGACAAACACAAGAAACTTGCGGATTTTTCATGTGACTTGAATTATGGAACATGCTCCAAAACACGCTCTTATTTTTACGTCGGTAACTCATGACAAACAGAAGAAACTTGCGGTTTCCATGTGATTTGACTTCCTGTATTCTGTCCAGTGATCCCTTCTGTGTGCTGTGATTGACATGTTTGTAAGAAAAGCACTTAGGGTTATTTCCTACGCCTGAAGTGCATAATACTTCCATCTTATCTATCATACAGTTAATAGCTAATTTATAGGTAATGTTGCAGAACGATATAAGTTGGGAAAACTAAGACGCTTTCTTTGACAAGCTTTTTGTTGAGTTTAATTTATGGGTTTGTTTAAAGACCAGGCCAAAATGGGTGGGTTGTATTCAGCGTTGCAGGACAGCAAACAGATATAATGACAGACTTGAGTAAGAAAATTAAACTACATGTTGTGATGTTGGCCTCGAAATAAAAGACTACTGTATATAATATGAAAAGTATTAACATTATTTATCTCTATGATAACTGCAGATTGGCAACCATCTGCTGCGCGATAGTGCTCAGTGAAACACACTAATAGGAACTATATAGAACCCATGTTAAACTAAAATACAGATAGCCCAAATTAATAATTTCAACATACCTCATACTCGTACTCCAGTTCAGAATCAAAGTACAACTGGTCAGTTTCATTAACTGGACTATAACATTCCTCATCAGGCGCCAATTGTTGAGTTGTTTCCAGTCCTTCTCTGCCGTTCTCGACAGGTTTAACATTCTCCAAACTCGCCTGGCTAACATTGCCCGAATAGTAGCCATTACTTAAGCTTTGTAACTCGGAAGAATCCTCGGGTTCGTAGGACGTTCGACCTGCGTCAACGGGTATGATGCGGCTAGTTCGTTTTCCTAACGCTGCCAGAGATGTATTCAGTAACAACGTGTTTAACATCTCGTCACGAGGTTTCACATCGTCCGACGTATACCCTGTGTTATTTTTAAGTTCGTTAGCTTCACAGCCGTCAACGTCCGATTGGTGTTCGCCAATTTCGTCGACTCCTGAGTCCTCTTTCTGATGGATGATATTAATCGCGCCTTGCGAAGAGAATTCTTGCGAAGAACGATTACTTCGACAACGACAGCAAGTGATTCTCATCTCGCTCTGATCCATAGTCTCAGTTTGAACTCCAATGGAGACAAACCCGGTTGAAAACATGTCTCCGTGCTTTGGGTTATTAAATCTTCGTACGGTTATATCCAATTTATCCCCTGCGTTTTTGAAAGCCTTCACAGCCTCTTGATGCGATGCGTTCGTCAGATCGACTTGGTTGATCTGCAAGAGAAGTGTAGAGCGTTAGAGGGTATTTACGAATAAGAATAGATTTTGATTGACATGTATTGATATTGACCGAGTTCCCCCAAGGTTCAAGTGGTACTTCATTTAACCAGCAAACAATGTAAGAACGCCAGGTTGGGGGTGAATCTGGAAGAGTCAATTTTCTGGATGAGTTGAATTTATACGACCGGCAATAAGTAGCGTCAAAAAGTCCATACAATCGCCTCGCTCTTTAAATAATCCTGCTTGTCTTTGTTTTGAGATAGCCCATTTCATGAATCAAAGAAAGTTTTCCAGGATAAATGAAGGATTTATCAAGAGGAGACTTTTTTATGTTACGTAAGACGCGCCCAAAGTCACGAGTATAATATGCCGCTCAGTTCTGCATAGTCAAAAATTTGATACTGTAGTTTCTCAATCGGCTTTTTTATTTTTAATGATTTTAGTGTTTTATCTACAAGATAATGCTAAAATGAAGAGATTTCAGATGGTACGACAAAGAGAAAATTATGCCGGAAGTTTCGACTTATATTTCTGTAAATATGGCGTCCATTTAAACGTAATATACAAGATTCATATTATCATTTGTCTAGCGCAAATGTGGATATTGATCAAATACATCAAGTATTATATGCTTACCTAATCATATACTCAGCCTATAGACTGTTTTATCTTTTACAACAATTGTAATATTACTTAACTGTGTTTATCCTATATTATAACCCACCCTGTCAACTTTCCCTGTGGGAGGAAACCGGAGCATTCGGAGGAAACCCACGGCTTTCGTCAGAGCGTCTATACTGACTCTTTTCACATGAGTCCGTTCAGAGGTGAAGGTCGCTTGCTTTGACCACTACGCCAGCGCAATATTAATATACAATTGTATTTAAAAATACAATTGTATTTTAATTTAAATTTTTTCCTATTATCTCTATTTGTTTCCTATTCTCAACCGCCAGATGCATTTAAAAAGATAGTTAACTGTACAATATAGAAAATAAAAGGTTTTGGACACTTTTCCTCTTAAAGAGCGAAGCAGTTCAATACAAGACCAGTTTCCCTTTTAATAAGTTTCTTTTACCCGCGCAAAACATATGTATACACGCCGGGAGAGGAAGTTTTCCAAAAAGTTCAATTGTTTTGCTTACAACTAGGCGGTTTGAATGTGTACTACATTCTTTTAATACATTCTTTTAAATCATTAAATGCACAGAGCACATTTAAGTACCATGGATAATTATTGGGTATAGAAGCCAATGGCAATACTTTCACTGTAATCATGTTAATTTAAAGAGTGGGACAAAAGGTCCAATATCTATAATTTTTGGCTTGGCTTTAATGGCAAATGAAACTGGCAGCAATAGTTTCAAAACTTTATCGTCTCTTGTTTAAACGTACATTTTTTTAGTTAAACTAAGTAAGAAAGATTCACTTTGTTACAAACGCTCTCGCAAACATTTAAAGAAGTAAGAAAGGAAGGATAAAATACAACAACAAAAGCTCTTTCTAGATAAAGTTGAAGTGTTTTTCAAAGAATGTCTTGAAGGAAAGGTGACTGCTTTTGATATCTTGCTCTTTGTTTTGAAGTGGATAACGAAACCTTCCTTCCTACACTTCAAACACGTTTTGGCACGGCCGTCGAGTAGTTACTACAAATTACCATACTCACAGTTCACTTTTGAGGGTTTTATTCAGTTTAGTTTCAAGGTTTAGTACAGTTTGCACTATCTAGTCATATATTTTGAGGTCAGCATGAACATGAACGTAATTCGTTGCGGGTGCCTTAACCCGCGATGAACGCCCGCGAGTTAATTAGTCAAATCCTAAATAATATCCAGAGGGAACACAAAATTTCGTTATCCAGTGATATCGTAAGATCAGTGACCAAACGGGTTAAACCGGACATTTATACACATCAACTTTCCCTCTCCCCCCTGTCCTATGCCATGTAAATGATTACATTTATCCCCGGAACTATTACTCATCGGACTCCCCCCCCCCTGCATTTCTGTTAATGGCCGAAATGATTATAATTATACATGATTGTCTTAGGAACTAGAAAAATTTCAAAACCTCAAAGCATTCATCTTGTCAAATCCCATAAACTGCCCGCAGTAATTTTGCCGAGGAAAGAGCCACCTCTCAGTGAACAGTGGGGAAGAACCTTAATACATCCGTCAGATCCGTGCAATATGTCAGTTCACACAGTGGGTGACTTACTTAGTCTGCAGAAATGAATAAATTCAACAGAATAATTCATGTAAAAAAGAAAAACAATTTTACTGCAGTCTGCAGCAGTGCAGCTGTCGTGATGGAAATTGGGTTTTTTTTGTCTATCGTTCACATACCGCCCGTTTTGTTAACTTTTGCCTCGATTTTGACTCCCAAACTCTGTAGCTGTTACTTGTGCAGAATAGTATCTTACTGTATAACGGTTAAGCGCATTAAAAGGAATAATTCATCGGAATAAAAAGCTGTTAATTTGGTTAGAATATTTACGTAAAAAATACTCAGTTCCCCCACTTGCAAACTTTGCTCTCATGAGTAACAAACATGTTTCATTTTTTAGACCGAATTCCTGAGTTTACTCAAGTAATTCATACCTAAATTTTACTACAGCAGAAAATCAATGATACTATTTAGAGTTTTGGCGAAAATATTAGCTGCAGTGTTACCGATAATTGCAAAACTATACGCAAGATTACACACCATCGCATGCATGCAAAGCAAACCTACTTCAATGCACTTGCAAGCTGTAAAAATAAGACTTCTTGTTTAACATCACGAATATTTAACGGTCATTGAAACGGTCTAAAATTCTTTTAAATCTTTAAAGCTTAAAAATTCTTAGCTGCGCAAAATATTCTCCTCCAAAAACTGGTTGTACTTTTAATTACTGATTGTTTAAAGTATTCTACATGTATAAAAAGTTTAAATGTTTCTTTACTCTATCAATTAGTTTAAAACTGCAGCGTTTTGGCCGAGCGAGTTATACGCAGTTTAATTTGAAATAAAGAACCATTATCACTATTATATTATAACAGTTACATCAATAGTTACAATCTTACCCAGTTAGCAGTTCAATTTCACGTCCTCTACTCCTAGCGATGACAAGCAAAACCTTCTTTAAATATAGCTATAGGACTAAGGCCTCTTAGAACCTCGCGCCCTGTTAAAAACTATACCGAACTATAAATTTTGTCCTTGAGTTGGACTCCAGCTGGTATTCATGAAAATTTGAAGGATAAATTAAGTTGTTTACTTTCTTGCATGTTTTATAAATGACTGTTTGTTTTTATACCATGGTAACTTTGGCAGAAAAAATTACAACTTAAAGTACAACTCATAAATTATTCTTAAACACTGCAGCATATGTAAATAAAAAACCCAGCCCCTGTTTTATAACCTCAGAGTTTAATTCTAGACTTAAAAATTAGATTCAATTTAGGAAATTGTTGCATGAAAGTATAAATTTACGAAAGGACTGATTATGGAGTAATACAAGGTCCCACAGTTGCCCCATTGCTAAAAATTGAGCCCATGTTAATTTAAAGTGCAATTCATATGGTTTCCAAAATGTCAAGTCGAAAACTGCGATCTCATGTCTAAGCAAATACTGTATTATTATAGATCAATAGTATATATATTAAACTATGCCATTCCTGAAGGCCTAAATGCAGTCTATAAGCACTACAGTCTACCAGCACCCGCACAGAACATGCATGTCAGATGTGCAAATATTATTGCTTACGGGGTTATCAAACCTGTCTATAACACGGACAGTTTGCGTGCTCACAGAGGGAGTTAAATTATCTGGAGGAAATCCCAGGTTGGAAATATTGAGGCGAAAATAGATTGTGAATAATAATCCCTGAGTTTCTAATTGAACTCAGTCTAATCCAATAAGTCCATGTATGCTTGGAGCAATTTACTGTAAACATTTGTGGATGGCCGATTTTTCGAGATTTGGTCCAGTTTAGATTGGGAACTGATACTATCTCAGAATATCTCTTTTATCGCGTGGGAATATTGTCAAGAAGTGCTGTATATATACAAAACAACTTGACCCAAATATTTGGCAAATAAATAAGCAATTGTTTACTTTGGTGAAGCAAGTCTGTGACCAATTTTGCAAATGCAGGAGGTTGATAGCCTCCAAGCTGGAGTAATAGATGAAGCCACAATGAACGTAATGGAAGCCCCGTAGGTAATCCTATCATGCGAGTGAGGGGAGAACAGGATTAGATGATTTAATGTCTTGCACAATATGTCTTTGCGTAGGTGGTTGAATAAGCACGAGTGTTATATACACATCTCCCCAATGTTAGCAAAACACTGTTGTATAATACTACCAATTTTTCCCAGAGGCATTTCGAAAAGTAACACCGTATTCACGAATTACATTGGCGAAGTAATACATAGTTGGGTTTAGAAGGGGTAGAAGTTTATGGCTTCTTCAATTATTTATAACACATAAAAGTGCAGTAATATTTGCATACATGTAATGTTATATGTACTGATATATTACTCGGCCAAATCTAGGGCAGAGACTGGGAACGAGTCCAAGTTTCCTCATGATAAAAATCAAATTAGCCAGGGGTTTGTGTAGAAGATTTTTAAAGTTTTTACGAAAGATTTAAAATAGTTCTTAAGCAAAGTACATTAAAAGTGCCGACAAAACCTTTTCCTGAAATTAGGATCTTAGGAATTTCCGGTTTAAAAGTTAAAATCCGTTGACAAAACTATAATCACTTTTTAGAAATTGTCGCTGGATTTCATCAGCTATAATGTGAATAATGAATTGGTATCGAAAACAGTTAAGGAAGTAATTGCTACCAATTCTGCATAAAATCTGTCAGGCTTGTCTAATTAGCATAATTAGCGAATCACAACGGATCTGCCGTGTTTGCATTACGCATATTTGTAAAATATTAAACGTTGATTTTAATCTGAAACGATTTCTATGTAGACAAAATATCCTTAATTATTTCCCGTTAATTCTTATAATCTCAAAATATTTGAAAACACAGAAACCACTTAGCAACATAATCAAACACAAGATACTTGCTCGAGATACTGCAATTACCTTTAAATGATGCCATTTACTACAATAAAATCATATGATTCTATTGTGTTGCATTCATTTGTATTCTATTGTCGAGTCCTTTGAAAACTAAATAATGCTAAATCAACTATCTTTCAACAGTATTAAGTGTATGACTGATCTGTATTTAACTCAAAAGGTACTCCAAAGGGTATTGTCTAAAAGAGTATTCCTTCTGAAATAAACGGGTACTTCAAAGGGGGTACAAGAAGGGTTCTTTCTGAAATAAACTCGAATCGTTTTTCAAACTGTTGCAATGCTCTTAGTTTCGCTAAGACATGCGAATGTAATGCAAATCTTTTAAGCTGCAGACAAAACAGACACTAATTAATTTCCTGCCCAAAAATGAAATACCGATTCCTTTGAGATTGATATTTTTACAACAATCACAAATTCCAGATGAGATTTTATTACAGGAATTTACAAACTTGTAAGATTGCCATATGCTAGTTGACCTTGAATGGTTAGGAACAACACACATATGGAATAACACCAAGAAAAATAAATAAGTAAACAGGAGTAGCAATAAAACGTTCAATTATGAATTGATCCTGGTGCTATCCAAATATTCTCGAACAATTAAGAGAACAGCAGTCTGTTATTGTCTCAGCTGATCAATATTTTTTCATATAATGACAGTCCAACCGTGGCAATCAGGGCAAGAATAATATTTGAAAGTGGAAATAGCAATAATTTTGGTCACCCAAGAATACCCCTATGGTATCTCGACTTGGGGTTCCAATATTTAACATGTGACTTGGAAGAAATCCTATCACTTGGTGGCTTCTGAGCACAGCAGATGGTGAATGGTTTAGTTCAGAAATGTTGACTTTTTTGCCGCAAGAAAATCAACTAGTTATTCCGAAAAAAGTGTACATAATCAGAATACACAATTGTTAAAACTGTATATTTCGAATGCACAGTATTTAGAATTTATCAGTGTTTAACACTGACTCAGCCCACTCAAATATTTCTTACAAATCCTTAAAAACTTAGACTACTGTGATCACAGAAACTTTGATAGTATAAACGTGCCCTAAAGCTGCCAGCATCTGCTTTCCTGTGACAAGCCAACCCACACCAAGCAAGAACAAAAAGAAAGACAAACTTAAATTAATTAAATTTTGCACAAACTTAACCCTAATCAAACACAAATTCCCTCTGATCACATTGCTAACTAACCATTAACGCAACTCTCGTCGTTTGGAGCCAAGCACAAATTTTCATTGTCTGCACTTCAAGCAAAGTTTGTGGAAAATTAAAATCAGCTGTCATGAACTAACACAACTCCACAAATATTTACCCTAAGTGTCAATAAAGTCATTAGCATGTCTGACTGCTACTATTGAAAAAATTAGAACTTCATTCTTCAAAGTTCTGCTCTTGTACACAGAAGAATAAATGGTTCTGAAAATGTCTAGAGATTTTATTATGGCACATGTTTATTGTATAAAACATTAAACCCTTTAATTCACACACTGAATACTCTTGTTTTAAGTTGGTCAGTTTTTTATATAAATTAAAACCAACTGTCCTTTGAAATTGAAATGTCTGTCAAAATATCTGTCATGCCAAACATCCATTTTTAATTTGTTCCAGTTTTTGAGTCCAAGTCAGAATTAACTTTTACAACATCGCTGCAAAATATTGGGGTATAGCTGGAGGTTTTGTATTGGCTTATTGTGTATAGTGCTTTCTATTTTAATGAACGATAATTAATCATTATTATTGAGTACATGAAATTTCCAATCCAAACCCTTTTATATGAGACGGTATGTCTGTGAAATGAAATAATTTTTCTATTAATTCAAATAGAATGGTACACACTTATATACTGTAGTGTATGGACTCAAGTTTCCAAAGTGAATTTTTTAACAAAAGAAAGTATCTTAGAGACTTGTAAAAATTATGGTGAGCCCACCATGGTAACCCATTAAGGAATCTCTGAGCAACATGCCTGTATCTTCTCCACATGCGTTTAACTATGGTAGTCATCATGCTTTCCCCACGTGCTACCCCCTAGTCATAGAGAGAATGCTAACCACTTTAATGGGGAATATTCTGGAAAATGTTCAACACCAGATGATGTGAATTAAATGTCATTAAATCCTAAAAACTTCTCAAGGAATTTTTCAACCACAACGTCTGCAAGTCTCCTTACAAATTGAACAAAGGAAATTGCGAAATAAAAGCATGACTTGCAAAATTAATGCCATTGTAATTTTTATCGATAACAATGAATATTTATCTTATTTGTGTCTTATTTTAAATTTGTACTCTAACATACATTGACCACAGGCGTAGTTTCCAATACAAGTGTCCCCAAATATATTTAATAAAAAATATTTTCATTATTGCTATTATTTTTAAAAGATACTTTTATCATTATTATTTATTTCTATTTCTTTAAGGAAAAGAATTTCAAAAGAACTTATTTTACACTATGAACAGTTCTGAAAGTATTTGTAGCATAGGTCGCAGTATTAAGTTCAATGTACAAACATATTTGATAATACCCTTTTCACAAATATATACGTTAAGCGTCGTAAAACAAAATTATGATCACCAGAGAACAACAGTATGCTAATATAGGTGGGCAGAGACTACATGCAGCTGTTTAAACTAAATTGTTTGACGACAAACGAATAGCTCAAATACAATTCCCGATTACTTTCTGGGGGTGGACTATTTTTCAATTGCAACCTACGCATAGCTATGCGGCTATGCCATAAATTGAAAACACGTTTACTTTAGCGAGAAAAATGTAATTTATCGAATAGTGTTTTTTGCACCTACTTATATACATATACAATCATAGCTAATCCTAAAATCGGTTTAAATTTAAATTCTGCAATGTCTGTGGATAGCTTTAGCTGGAAATCTTGTTAGGTATAATTACCTGTACTTTACGGCGGTATCGTCAAAACGTTGTGGGTTGAAATAAATTATTAAAACACACAATGGAACTAATTCAATAAACGTCCTAAGCAAACGGAAGCTTGTTTCGTGTCTTGCTTTACATGTGTTTGCACAGGCGAGCATTGTGAGAAACAGAGTTTGTCACGATACAGCGGAAAGGTGTGAAAAATAATTAGAATAACACTTGCATAGTTGACGATTTTAAACTGCGCCTAATCAGCGCGCCAAACACGCGAATTAACTTAATTTTAGGCTATTAGTAGGTGTGACACACCGCACACATCCGCAAATGAATTAAAAATAGAGAATATATAAGTTTTTATAGACAAACATATAACCTAGGTCCTAGTATTACCTCAAAATCTTCATCACATTGGTTTCAGGCGAAATGAAGATTTTGGGATAAGTGAATTTAATTTATCATTATGAATTATGTATTGAGAGCTTTCCGATACCTCATCGGCCCAAACACACTTATATATAAGTTTATCACAACAATGATCTTACCCTGACAGTCAACATTCTGTTGCAACGACAACTCGCTAACAGCTATTACTCTACAACAGTCTTCTTGTAACTTTAGCGCAACGAAACACTTTACTGCTGTAACCGTATAACTTTAATGCAAAACTACATCTAGTTTATTATTTATATACCGAACACAGCATGCATTTTGCCTACGCTAATATATCGTTAGCAAACTTAAGGAGTCTGTACAATAACAAAGACAATGTAAGCGGGAAGTTACACAACAATCTACAGTGCCAATGATATCACGAACAACACAGCACAGTTATAACTATATGATGAAATCGTTTTCAAATCTCGATCACTGATAACCTAATTGATTGCTTCTTTCTGTTATTTGTTAAAGAGATGCTCTCCTAGAGAGCTACATAAAGCCAAAATCAATTTTCTGGTGATTTTGTATGCCTAAAAGAAAGACGATAGTTGCCCCCGACTGAACGTAGTCTCACAGGCTAGATCGTGTTTACATTAGCGCTGTTGAAGTCATTTAGTCGATTCAGTTCAAATTGATGATAAACGGCGCAGATATTGACATCTCGCTACACAGTATGTGGTAGCCACAAACTCAAACACAAACCAAACGGAAATTATCATTGTTCCTAACTTTGCCAAGAATTATCCCTGCTTTCCTTTGGGTTTTCCGGCCAAAACAGTGGCACAGACAAAACAATCTTCATCCATGCTAAAATGTATGTTCCCAAAAGTGAAATACTGCGCATTCTTCTTGGCGAAACTGTTGAACTATTTAAATCAAGTTTAGCTTGAGAGGGCGCCATTAAAAATTCAAACTGTGTTTTTATAGTGCATAAGATAAAATTTGCCCGATAACCTTTAGAGTAGCTCTTGGCTATTGTTCTAGTGTATTGCTTGAAGTTATCATACAGTGAATCTTTCACTGCTTGCAAAATGCTGTCGCGTACTGTAATTGAAAAAATATGTGAATGCTTTGAACTAAGATATCATTATTACTACGAACTATACGAATTGTTGAAAAACACTTGCATTGCAATTTATGGTTAGTTTGAAGCGAACTGCAGCTTTTAAAACAATTAACATTGTAGAGCTTTAACATTGTTGTTTTAAATACAGACAGTGTATTTTAGATTTTATCTGTTCCATAAACTAAACTTTTTACGATATGTTTCATTAAATGCTTGTGCAATCGATAAATACGAACAAGGAGTCGAGTCTACACTAGACATCGTTACAATCACGAAACATCGTTATAAAGTTTCAAATAATTTTACAATGAAAATAGAAATACTGCAAAATGGATTTCTGTCCTGATGCTAGTTCCAGGCCCTTTACTCGCCGTCAATTTAGCCGATTGAAAGTATGTTGACAGTGCTTTTAAGATGTCATCCAAATTTGGAGGATGGTAATAGGTTTATATAAAAAAAAAGTTTAAAAAAGAACTACTCCATTTATATGTCTTTTATCATTCGGAAAAGCTTCCCTATAAATCATTTTATGATGGAAAGAAAATGCATTTTCTAACAGCATTAAGCCTTCAAGATAAATTTAGAATTTTCCTGTGATCTTTCAAAACGGATTAATATTATTCAATAACACAATCTTCTTGTCCCCAAATGTCGTTTATCACTGAGACGAGCTTGCTTAGAATAACATCCTGTTAAGCGCCACGCGGTAACTTTTACATATAGCTGTCACGACGCCATGACGCAAATCACGGTGTATATGTCATTTCGACAAAAAGAAATATTTGAACCACAATTTTCTTAATTATCAATGCGTATATCGTATTTCGTGCTTAGAATTTCGTGCGCAAATGACTAGGACACTGTGATATAACGCATACAGTATTATGGATGGCACGTTTTGGCACGATACAGTCACGAAAATGCGATTAAATGCCTAATACAGTCATGGCCAAAGATAGCTAAATGATAAACTATACATATGTTCAAATGTTTGAAGGCTGGACCTCTCCACATAAACACGAAACCCCACACAGTGAAATATAACTATATACCCCCATTAAAAGGCACTAATTTCACAATATAACACAAAACACTGCCTTAAATCTGTGAATTATGACACAAGTTTGCTAGGCAGCAATGTTGATAAGTTATTTCCGGACTTGAACCGCAGGGTGCGAAGGAAAACGTAAATATACCTGAAGAATTCTGTCATATAGTTGTAACTTTTCCGACGCTGGGCTGTTTTCCACAATTTTTGAGATGAATATTCCGCGATGCTGTTCATCTTCCTGAGCAGAAATAGAGAAAAACAACAATATAAGTGCCAAAGCTAGAAACACCATCGAGTGAAGAACAGTAATATGATATTACCATCCAAGCAACCGACAATCGTTTGAGATAGCGCTGATCAAAATGTAATAAATATTTGGATAACGTCCGTCATGTAAGGCTATTTTCACCGTCAAGTGAATTCCAAAAATTGTTAAAAAGATTTGATGTTTTGCAGAGCTGAGTGAGACGTGTTATTCATGATTATTATGATAATTTTGCCAGTTATGATCTAAATGAACTAATCTGGTTTTTGTTAATTGTATTTATCCCAACAAGTCTGGCTAAAAATACTTTTAATTATACTTCATGTTAAATTCAACGAAGGATAAAAAATAACTTTTCGTTGTGTTATGTTCTGTGAGAGATATTCTGTAATAGAATTTCATGAAGGAAAACTACAGCTCGTACAGTTAATACCCAATACTTTACAAACAAATAAGAATACGGATTATTCGAAAGGCTTGAGCCAAGGGTCTTTTCCATTTATCGGCGAAATATTCTCGAATATTTATATCCAATTAGAACGTACTCAAAAGTTTACAAATTGTTTACAATGGTTCGAAAGTATTCACAATTGTTGTAATTTCGCAAGCTCTAACGTGGAATCTAAAATAGTCTTTACCTAGAATATTAATATTGATCAGGGTATTTGCCCACATGAGAGCGTACAATGCTGCAAGGATCTATTATGTTAAAATAACTTTTCGTTAGCACACGAGACCGCGCAATGACGCAGGAATCTAACTTGTTAAAATAACCAAAATTCCTTTTTCAAAAAGGCGCTGATGAGTACATGTTTGCTTTCGTGTTAGGTTAAGCACTTTCAAAGTCTGTTCGAGAGAATAATTAAGTTCTTAAGAAAGCTTTAAAAGAACGCAATTATTCCCAATATTATTATGATTATTGCAAAAGCACTTTTCGCAACGAATGCTTGGAATGTAACAATTAAGTGGAATGTGGCAATTAACCTCTTACCCGAGTGTGGGGGTCGATCAACTTTTCATTAACCAGGGGGGAGGTGACAAAGGCCAGGTTAGATTACAAAATTAGAAATCAAAGATCTTACCTCCGTTCCTCCTCGGATGTTTAGACCAAGTATTCCTTCAGAACGTACCAGAGTAATTCGAATTTCGTTTTCACTCGTTACCTAAAAAGATGCACAAAAGAACGTCAAAACTAATGTCATAAATCCTTAATTCTTTCCGTTTTAAAGCCCATAATTACGTGCTTCACAAATTGCATTTCATGAGATAACGCGCTGTATTGTAGACGAAACAAATGATATTGTGTTCACTGCTTTTGCCGATATTTAGCGCAAACATAAACTGGTAAATATCGGATGTTTTTAAGCTACACATGGTGACATCACAACTATCCTTGACCTTGTTAATCTAACCCTTGGGCGCAGCGAAAGTTAAGCCACAAGTTTCCCTTGACGAGTTTCCTTTCTCGTGTGAACGGTCAACAACGGACAAATTTTGTTACTCGTGTGATGGAATGTTGTTAAACATTTATCGTCAAGGTCACCTTTTGTTGGCCGAAACCATAAAAGTATTTCATGCATACTTGACAAGTTTTCAACAAATTTTCCTTGTCCAAAACCTGGCATGACCAGCCTTGGAACAAGGTTCGTTGACAAGAAAAACGTGCTTCTGTAAGAGGCTTTACCGCTTAAAATTCTAATTTAAATTTCTTCTTGAGCAGTAATAAGATTACAGAATGAGATGAATCATGATTTGTGGGAAAATTTAAATACCCAAGTATCCCTAATAAATTGTTGCTGAGCTATTAAGATTATGAAGATTGGTTGTTCTTTGAATCCACATCACTTACTACACAATTATGTGGGCTGTGGTAAGTTTTTACCCCTCACATAAGTGCATCATGTTAATTTAATTATTTTGCCAACATAATTCTGAGTTCTTATCTTTGCTAAGGCCAAGTACACGAACTGGTTAATAATGTATTCAACTCATGTTGCAAACATTTTATGATAGTTTGATATAGAATGGAAAGTTGTTCGCATAGAAAGCATGGTTGACAATTACTGAAGATTACAAACAATTCAATATTTCATGCGAATTTTCTTTGGCCGAAGGGCTCGAAACTTCGATATGTTTGTAATAATCTTGTTCATCAGAGCATGGAGAATATTTATTGTATTTAATAAGCATAAAAAATATTTAATACAATTATACACAACGACTTTCATCAGTACTGGCAAAACAGACTATTGACAGATGCAGCTAATGAGCTTAGTTTAATACTTGTATGATGTGTTACTGTTAATTTAAGAGTCAGCAAAGGCCAATGCACCCATGCCCGCGAGCGATTACTGGACTAAATTAGAAATTCCAACTCCAGCCGAGGTTTCTTGTACATCAGGCTGAATTCAGGTTTATCTCAATGTTAACGACAAATATTTTCAGTTGCTGCTGTCGTCAGATGACGTTTACAAAGTACTTTTCAAATAGCATTAACTTAGATCTAAAATTATTCCGATAATATGTAAAGGTAGCATAATCCATATCTCCAGCAGGGGATTTGTGTAGTTCTTTTATTAAATCCATAAAATTTCATGCCGCCTTGTGTACTTTTGCGTGGGACAAACTACGCTGTATCGAATTGTCGTGTTCTGAAATAATTACCGTTTTATTTATGAGGAGAAACTCTAAATCATCATCAACATTGCACTATTTTACGACAAAGTTTTCATGGCGAACGAGGCCATTTATACAGCGCTAGCTAATGAGGGTTGTACATGCTTCAATTGTCCTAGCTATAGGGAAGTACGTTTTCATGCCTAAAATCATATAGAAACACTTTGATAGCAAACGTAAATGGAGAAACAAAGCGCCGTCTCATATTTCGTTGACGCATTAGCATAGCGTGAAACACAAGCGAGTGTTTCGACATATGTCGGTTGTTTATAAAGTCAGGATTATTTGGCTATTTATATATCCTACGCACACGAATGTGGCTTGTAGTGGAGCGCGCAACAAAAACATGCCACTTCATATGTTGCCTGTCTGTAACAAGCACTTAGCAACACCAATATTATTTGTTGTCAAGTCGTTTATACTTCAATCTAGGGGTTTTAAATCGCTAATGCCACAGAAATATTCATTTCAAAGTGTGCCAAGCCTTAAGTATGCTTGATCGCTAAGGCTCTACGTGAATAACATGTACGCGCAAATTTCAAAACTGCGTTAAGATCAACAAGTGCGCTAAAGCGCTAAGCATTCTCAAATGTGAGGTCGACTGTAGGTACTGTTGATATCTTCTGAACCACACGAAAATGGGCGCTTTGTGTGAAGACGTTCGTCAGAGGTTTAGAAGCGCACTTGATAAACGACTTTTCTCGAAATCCTGAGGTGTTTTTAATCTTCTAAAACACAAACAACATGCTTTCCATTGGACAATTAAAGTCTGTATGACTATAGTTTGACATTGCGTGAATGATTGACTAAACACACGCTAATTCTCATGTTTTTTTATGCATTGAAACAAATGTTTTCTCCTGGCCTCGTTGTGAAGCGAGCGCGCTGTATATTACCGACGTTCTAAGTCAGTACGATGCAAGGCGTTTGGGTTAAATTGGATCTAAAATAAATCTCCAATGATAATAAACGCAATACGCATCATTACAAGTCTTAAAATCAAAATACAAAAGGCGGAATCTAGAGCAGACAATGTGCCGTCTAAATAAACTAATAAAGCGTATTCGTATTGTTTCAAAAGTCATCTTTCATATTATAATATGAATTGGGTCCAATTAGGTTCTGCTTTCTAGTTCTATCATATACAAATCTTATCCTGAGTAGCACAATTTATACGTCAATTCATAAAGTCTTAAACGCAAGCTATATATACAAATCGTGACAATCTTGGTTTGCAATGAGTATACAAGCCTACATAAGTTAGCGCGGTATAAAGCTACCTTGTTCTCGAGACAATCCATTTTGGGTTTTTTCTTGGATAGTCCAATGTTATCATACATCAATACAACAGGATTTAGGATTTATGCAATCCATACAGCGCTAAGTCATTGGGGCCGTATACTTCAATGGAGCGAGTAATTACAATTTAGGTGTCGATAAAAAAATAATAAATAAAGTCTAACCTGGTCTGATTCCCGACTGTCAAGTTGTCTTCTTAAGTAGTTAATCTGTGAACGCTGGTCTCGTGAGCGTAGTTCATAATTCAATGTTTGTTCTTGGTACGACCTCAAATCTCTTTCGAGCTGCGTAAAACGTTCCTGCATCGCTTCCTCGCGTTTCACAAGACGTGCAGCTACCTTCTCGCGTTCGTGTTCTGAACGCGTGAGCTTCGTTTGCAGTGAACACACTTGCGATTGTAAAGATTTCACGCAATCATGTTCTGAGGAATCTTGAAACAGTAGAGGCAATCCACAACCTTTGTTACAAACAAATACTTGGCTGAGTGAGTTGACTTCCGGCCCAGATACTTGCTCCGTTGAACAAGTTGTGCGTGGTAAGCCAGTAACCCCAGAAACATCTTTCTTCGTGTAGTCACACACTTCTAGATGCGCCAACATGTCCCCAAGCGGCGTAACAACCTCACAACCTTCTGCGACGTTCACGCAACGCGTCCGTAACCGTTCCACCAGTTTCTGTAAAGGTAATAAATGCGTTACATCTCTTTCAAACGAGATCTGTTTACAAGTTTTGGGACAGTCTGTTCTGCTAGTCAACCACGCTCTTAAACACTGTTCACAATAAACATGATCGCACGATGTTATAACAGGATCGCGATACACGGCGTTACATAGATCACATTTTAGGTTCTCGCCAACAGGATCGACAAAAAGTTCTAACTGAAAACCCATCTCAGCGCGCAAGGGCAACGCTCAAGTCTGCTAAGACATCAGATAACAAATGACATTCTGCGGTCCTGAAGCGAAATACGATATTAACACAGACGTATTTCTAAGGCGGAGCAAATCAACACTAAGAACGTAGTTTAACGCATGCTTGAAAACCTGAACTCGTGCCCGGAGTCCTGAGAATGACCGGAATTTTCAAAGTGGTAATTAGAATTAATTCTCGAACTAATTAAGGTCATATGTGTTAATTATTTTTGTCATGTTCTTTATAATTAGTTGTTCTACTTTTGAATCCGTACAGCTTTTCATGGATAGGGAATTTTTAAGATACAAAAATATCGATCATGTAGCTGTCATAAAGGCGACGTTATAGCCAGCGAACTGCAGCTCATTTTACAAAACGGAATGGGCTTGGCTCATCGTGCACATACGCGTTTACGCGCGTTTACAACATTGCAAAAAAAAAGAAGACGGGGGGTGGGGGATCACTGATACATGTTCAATGCTTCAAGAGTGAATTACCTAAATGCTTTGGTTTGACATGATTACTGAAGTTGAACTCATAGACCAATCCAGTACAAATAAAGTTAGTTTAGTTTAAGTTTTCTCTTGCAGTATAACACTGGACCAGTAAAGGACGACCTTTACTGGACCTCTAGTAGGAAGAAGAATTTATAACTGATTCCAATATAAATAAAGTTAGTTTATCAACTATCCAATATAAATAAAGTTAGTTTAGTTTAGATTCTATGTATATTCTCAACTGTGTGCCCTCGATAAAAGATGATGCATTGACCCTGAAGATTGAAGTCAACTGACAGAAAGTGTTGTATGTTATTTCCTTCTTAAACCTACTAAAACGTTTTGTTTGACAACTAATAAATTAAAATTAACATTCCTAAATAACTGTTAAATAAACCTATACCAGTGTCAGGGCAAAATAAAAACAATGAAATATTTTACTTTTGACAGTATAATCGTGTAATGTTAATGCTATTTTGTTATTCTTGCTCTGTGTTTTGACTTCTCTTTACTGATCTAACGGAAATCTAGTAATTTTTCAGTTCCCATTTCAGGTTTTTATCGTACCTTTGTTTAACTGCAAAGCTGATTGTTGTTCCCTTGCATAAAACCTCCTTTTCCGAGTCTTTTCCGGTATAATTTGCCAGGAAAAACTAATTTATCAGCTCAATATAGAATATCCATCTTACACCATTTCCCCCTGTATTTCCCCTTCCAGTATATACAACTTCATATATACACCAATTATCTCAAAAGTTTAATCTAAGAAGGAATAAAAAAAAACCCTATGGCTATAAAGTATAATGTAGGAATTCACGAATGAAGAAGTCTATTTATGAACAGAGCCTTTCTAATTCTATATCTTAATACATACAGCTTTTTAGCTTTGCCTAGATAAGCCGATTTTTGAATTTCTTAAAAATGCCGCCGAGCCCCATGTGCTACGATAAAACGACTTATCCGCGATCGTATCACAATCTTTTCACACAGTATGAACTAAAGTAGTTTGTTTGTACAGATAATTATTTATAATTTCTTTTAGAATTCGGTCTGACACAGAGCAAATATATGGCTGCCTCCTGCCGGACAGAAATGGCTGACATTTACTCTAAGTGCGTTTGCATATAGTTAATAGCACAAGTTGCCGACAATTTGAAATGTATTTTAGAGAATATTATATTAATATCTATTCTTCTTACAGCTTGGAAGTTATTAATAATTCACGAACAATTTAATTCCATGGCGGTATGTTATATCAATGTTTCATGCTTATATTTCATCAGTTTTTAAATTGAAAGCCAAATACTGAAACCTAAAATCAACTTATATATTTTAAATGATAAAAATAATATTTGACGGTTTAAAATATATTAATTAACAGTAATATCTATTGAATTTCACTCATATTGATACACTGTTTCCGCACACACGATAAATTTATAAAATTATTTCTAATCTATCAATATATCACGACTTTTTAATATTCCACATGGTTATAAAAGATAACAGCTATATTTTATAAGCCGCCAATGCAGTAATCCAGATAGGTTTTATAGTTCAACAGGTATATAATATATATAGCAATGGAGAGTCGTATCTATAAAGGATAAGAGCTTACCAGCTATCTCTGTAGAGTTGGTAGCTCAACAGTTAGAGTGTTTCAATCCCCAAGGCTATAGAGAATAGAAAGGTGTTGAAATTTATTCTCCAACCTGTATCCTTAGTATTTCAACACAGAAGATTGGGAAAAGTCTCGTAATGTATTGACAAATGATGTACTGAGCAAGGTTACAAGGATTGAAATGATGAAATCTTTTGTACTTATAAAGAGACACCAGGATAAGAACTTTCAACTAATCCTCGACATTCGCACTCGGTCCACTCAGCAGACGACGGGGAAGTTCTCGAACATCTTTCTAACTTCAATCTACATTAAAGTGCATCAAATGACGCAAGTGAAATACCTCGGCTGAAAAAATTCAATAGCCATAATTTCGCAGACACGACAGACATACATACATAAGCATGTTACTAAAAGCTTGTTCTCTTCAATTTATACAAGAAGTTTTAACCAATCACAATGATTCTATTTGTGTCTGCAGAAACCTAACCACGGATTTAGTTTTTGTGGCGTAGTCCTCATTAGTGTTCTCGAACCACAATATGTCTGCGGTTTAAACTGAATAATTGAGACACAGAAAAAGCTAGAGCCTTGATTCTTTCAAATCAACATTAAAGCTTGAATCCATTCAGAACGTGCGATGAAGCGATAATATGCTATGACATCACACTTTAAGATATGAAAGAGATCAACGGACACCGACCTTTCAGTGCAATCATCACTATGTTGGAGCAAAATGAACTATTAACACACACCCCAGTTCAAAAGACTTAGAATATAGATCAGTTCTGCCTAGATTTGACTGACAAAGAATGGTATCATGAAGGCTGAATCCGAGCTGCTGAAATACATGATTTGAGTAGAGAGTTTCCAGTGACACTATATGAGCCTCTGGTCGCCTCTTCTCTGCCAATGCTGACACATACATAAACCTTTAAAATCCTTTCATCACTGTTCCATGCCCAATGGTTTCAAAGTTCAAACACTAAGTTGAATTAAGAATCATAAACTTACATGCCAACTTCAAACAGCATGCGAGTCAGTGGACCTAGAGGGTACTGCCTGGCGACTCAAAAAATCCTTGCCTACTCCCACATTAATAAAATCTACATGCATGCGTGTTTTTCTTCTATTTTAATCTCCTGATTCATCAGTATATTTTCTATAGAGCCAGTTAAACATTTATTTCCATATTTTCAGTCTAATTTAACGGCTGTATACATATGATATTTCTAAGTGCATCAATCGGACATTGCAATGGCTTAGTGATCAGAGCATTGGTTCGTTAATTAACTGAGGGATCTTCGGTTTGGAGAGATCTAGGAATTGCAAAAATTATTTCTCCGGCAAGTGAATTAAGGTTCCCAACAAGTTAATATTCCAGTAAAATGCTGAGGTCAACCAGCAATGAAACATCAGAATAATGCAATGCATGCACAAATCGTGGCCCGAGTCTATAGTCAACGCGCAGGGCGGTATTGAATCTAACTATAAAGTGTGCATTACAATATATAGCAATTTCCATTCCTAAACAGCTTTCAAAGTCCAAAGGCAACCGACTCCTTCAAAGACAGCTGCGTTGGCATATATTTAACTTTCGGTGAAGAAGAACACCCGAAGCGAGTAAATACATGAAGTAAAATAACGAAGCGGCCAGCAGAAAGTTTTCCTTTGATCTTCGCAATCAAAGACCGGCAAAATGATCTGATAACCTGGACTCACATGGCTTCGTGAGGCGAAACTAACAATATTTATACATTAACACAGCTAGTCACTACAGGAATCAAGCCTGCAGGGAAGTGGAAGGGAAACCATAGATCAATAGACCAAAAGCCTTGGGTAAGAAAGCCTATAATCCACCCTAAATAAACGATTTTTAAAAGTCTCCTCGAGGGTGGTAACCGCGAATATAAAAAGCACAAGGCTTTGTTACGGCGGTACATCAAAAAGTTTTAATAGCAGAGCGGCTGTTTAAAATATCAATACAGAGCTTTCCTTTCTAAACAAATGATTCGCACGGAGACTAGTTAGAACAACGTCCTTATGTAATTAAAGAAATATTTTTATATATTAATGAGCTCGTTAAACGAGGATAAATTGTAGTTATATACATGTAGCCAAACATCACCTGCCGCCGGGTCAACGCCGCTCTGAGAGGATTTAGCCTGAGTGACGGTTTTACGGGTTGGGATTGAGACAGGCAGCAAAAAATGAGAGAGTAGGAGGATTCGAAATTATTACTCAAGTTCGTTCGTTTTTTTCGGTTTCTCACAGATGATGAGAGTTGCATAAGAGTGAACGAGGCGGTCAAACATGAGTAACAGTTGCAGAGAGTTGCAACTCTCATCGACTTTGTCTATAGAGTTTAGGAGGACCAGATTGGAAAAAAGCTGTAATTTTATCTGTTTATCCTCAATAAATAAAGTGTTATTATTATTATTATTATTATTACTTATCCTCGAGGCTTAAGTCAGGGGGTGCAACGTCAATGCCGTTTACGTGTGACTTCCAGGGGGGGGGGTGGAATGTTTTAGAGCTCGATTTGTTATTAACAATGATATAAAACATTTCAAACGTAGTTTTATAATAAAGATGACACAAGTAACCATCCTTTGTCAACGGATATTGGGGAGGGGGGGATAATGTTTTGGAGCTCAACTTGTTAACAATGATATCAAACATTTTAAAGGTACTTTTGGAATAAAGACGACACAAGTAACCATCCTTTGTCAACGGATATTGGGGGGAGGGGGTGGGGTGGAATGTTTGGAGCTCAATTTGTTAACAATGATATCAAACATTTCAAACGTAGTTTTATAATAAAGACGACACAAGTAACCATCCTTTGTCAACGGATATTGGGGGGAGGGGGTGGGGTGGAATGTTTGGAGCTCAATTTGTTAACAATGATATCAAACATTTCAAACG